TTTAGAGTTAAACAAATACATGTACTTATCTTTCTTAACAAAAGCACAATGTAGACAAAACTATTTAACATTATATGGGGTACTTTTACTTTGCCTCAAAGTTCAAGTACGCATTTTCGCAGCCAGCCTTCTTTAAATTCGTGTCGTCCAATGGGATTATAGCCCGCGCGGTGCATTTTATGCGCGCAAAATTGAGATTGTGCATGCACGAGCACGACGGTTATTTGATGTCTCACTTCTGACGCTGTCGACGGAGGATCTTCTTCAAAAATTGAAAGAAGCTGGAATACATGTCACTGAAGACGAAGCACAGAAATCCAGAGGTAAGTTTAGTTTTAAGTACTGTGAAAATCCGTTGGTTCCCTTTGCAGTCATGTTCACTTGACATTGCGTCTGTAGCTAGGCCTACCTGATGCGTGAGGTAAACTCGAAAACACCGACCTGACAAAACCAACGCATTATTAAATTTTGAGCTTATTGTTATTATAACAATTGTTTTTATTATTTAGCCAGAAATTAAAATGTTACTTTTCGCATAACTTATACTCTACCGCGAGACAGTGCTCGAGACGCTGACAAAACAGCGGTAAAACGGCCATAGAAACAGTTCAAACCCATCGCGTTTTGTGTGAATCGGCTTTTATTTTCACTAAAGCTGGGTCTCAATGTGGAACCACAGATTTATAAATTCAGTTTCCCATTATTTTCTTACTGTTACCCGTGTTCACACCGGACGCAAGCGAACGCCTCTCTTGTTTTATTTTAACGCCTCTCCTAGTCAGTCTGAAATTATATAATTTACGAATATCATCCGTGTTGATTTATATCAGTTTTATTTGGTACATATTTAAAAAAAAAATGTTCTAAATATAAGTCCAGGAGAGTCCTAATCATTTAGTTCTGTCAGTCATCACGAGCGAACTACTTAAGCAGCAATCAACTGAGGCGATTTAGCTCGGACATCGAGGCGTGCGTCGGCTTTGAGCCCTTCCAAGGACAGCAAGTCAAGTGAAATTTGTTTACCATTATTTATCAAAACTGGTAAAAACTCGTGAAATAAGTTTCTAGTCTTTGAGCTGCTAATTTAAATAATATTGCTTCTAATCATACACTCTCAGAAAAAAGTAAATTTCTCTGTTAGTGTACATATTAGTACCTTTTAGCTTTTGTACCTTAAGGTACTGCACCAGTGACAGTTTTGTACCTTTTTCTGAGAGTGTATTTTTCTAAATAGAAGTAATTTTTTTATACTGATGAATGCCCATTAAAAAAATTAAATTAGTGCTGCTGTTGGATAACGGGTCGAGTGTTCTGTTAAGTACTGCTGGTGCACGTTTACCAAACAGGACTCGTGCAGGACTCTGCTTTAAACTGCTTTGCGTCTCTCTGTCAGATAACCTCACGTGCGCGATGCGTCATATTTACAGGTATTTCCCTAAACCGCCGGCACCACACAGCTCATATATTTTTCAGCCAAGGGGTGAGAACTTAATGATTACTAAAACGATTATTTATTTTTGATAATTATTATTTTATTTCAGTTAGTTTTTCAATAACTGTTGTTAGTTTCATTTCGTTTTAGTTTTTGAATTATTTTGCCATTTTTATTTTATTTCAGTTTACAAAATTGTTTTTTCATCAATCGTTTTAGTCTTAGTTTTAGTTTTCGTTTACGAAAATAACCTTGGTCCAGAAGGCAAACCGCTGACCATGCCTTTCAAACATCAACCAGACTAATCTAAAGTACTGCCAAAAGGACAGGCTAATAACACATATCGTGGTGCAACCAAGCAATGAGCCCAATTTAATTATGAAAGATGATTTATACTTAACTAATATGCTAAAACAATGAGTAACGTTATCAAACAAGTTTTCACACTAATACAGTAAGCTACAGGTAAATCTGACACATCTCACATCAATATGCTTTTATTATCTTTTTAAGTTTAATTAATGTGCTGGCTAGATTTACTTATTGTAGTCATTATGTCTACAAGGTTTAGCTTAGTTAAATCATGGCCACGAATTAAGAACATCGTAATAATCAATAAAACTAGCAATCGGGAATTCATGATTATTTCTTAGCAGTTCTCACGTTGGCTACGTAAACTTTGCATCGTTTTAAGGTTATAAAATAAAACTTAATTGAAAATCGGTAAAGTTACTCACTCTGATTGCTGTCCATGTCGTCCATCTAGCAAATGGCTGCAATATAACAAAGAGTGAAAAATTGAAGGGGGTCTGAATACTTTCCGTACCCACTGTACTATTGCTTTCCAGTCATGTTCACTTGACATTGCATCTGTAGCTAGGCCTACCTGATGAGGTAAACTGGAAAACACTGACCTGACAAAACCAACGCATTGTTATTACATTTTAAGCTTATTGTTATTTTTTAAATTGTTTTTATTATTTAGCAAGAAATTAAAATATAACTTTTCGCATAATTTATACTCTACCACGACCCAGCCAACATGTATATGTGGGCCCCACATGGTTT